GGAGGGAGCCGCTAGAGTGGCTCGGAGCTTCCTGGCAGCCAAAGAAAAGGGGAGACAGGGTCAGGCCGGGGTCCCGTATGCGAGGTTGGAGCAGCTTGCTTGGTCGAGCGGGGGTCCGGGAGCGTGAGCCCCCAGGGGTCCTGGCCGTGGTGACTTCCCACGCCCCGTTTGAAGGGGGGAACCGGGCTCAGCTGCACAGCCTGGGGGCCCGCACCGGGTTCACGGTGGGTGTCCCCGACACCCGCCAGGGTACGGCTGGGGTGCAGGAGCGGGGCGGGGCTCACCGATGGGGCCCCAGGGCTGGTCGTCACGCTTGCCCTCCCCCAGGCGCTGGGAGTCGGAGCTCAGGCTGGCCTCCGCCGACAGCGGCTCGGTGCTGAGGAAGCTGTGTCTGGCGTGGGGAGAGGGGGCATATGGGCCGGCCCTTCCCTGGGGACCCCTCCCCAGGTTCCCCTACCCCGGATCCCTCCCCACCTTCCTCCTGCGGAGACCTCCTGCCCTGGGCGGCTTTCTCGGCTGTGCTTGCGGCTCTCACCTCCGGTAGAGCTTGGGGTTGCTGGCGCCCTCGGTGCCGTTGAGAGTCCCCAGCGAGGACCACTGGTTGACCAGGGGGGTGGTGAGCTCCTTGGAGGCCTGGGCCAGGAGGCCGTGGTCACCCGGGATCAGACCTGTCCTGGGAAGGGCGCAGTGTGGGAGGAAGTGGGGCGGGTCAGGAGGGGCGGATCCCTTGGGTGGGGGCTCGTGGAGTACAGGGGTCCCCTGAACGCTGGGGGCGTAGGGGAGGGCAGGTCCCCGGGGGTCCTCGGGTGGGCTCGGGGCTCTCACAGCTGCTCCTGCAGCTCCAGGATGACGCCCTCCAGCTCGCGCTTCTCCCTCTGGTTCTGTGCCGCTGCCTCCTCCAGCTGCTGCCGCAGCCGTCGGTTCTCGGCCTCCAGATCCTTCAGCTGCGACTCCCGAAGCCGCACCAGCTCCTCCAGGTAGCCCTATGAGGCACAGCTGGGGCTGGCTCCCCTCGGACCCCACTGCCCCACGATTCTCCACTTCCTGCGGACCCCTTTCCCACGCCCCGCTCCGCTCCACTCACCTTCTGTGCGTAGACGATGCGGAACTTCTGCTCCATCCTGTGCCACTTGCTGTACCAGCTGTCCTCGTCGGTGCCCAGCGGCAGGTAGGGGTGCTCGGGGGAGTTGTCCTCACTGGTGCTGCTCTCGGCGCTGTGCCGCTCCTCCTCCTCCTCAGTCAGGTAGTCGTAGCTGGGGGGAGCAGGGCGGCTGCCAGCCCTGGTCCCATCCGCAGTGACGCCTGGGCCGTGCCCCTGCCTCCCCCGGTTGGTGGTGGGCACTCACCTCTGGGTGAACTTCATGTAGGGCGTGTAGTCGATGACCACAGGCGTCTTCCCGTCCAGGACCTCACCCTTCAGGCAGAAGCTGGCGGGAAGTGGCAGGTTGGGGGGTGCGGGGTGCTGCCCCTCCGCCCCTGGGCACAGACCCACCTGAAGTCGATGGCGCTCAGCCCGATGAGCATCCCTATGAGGACCGTGGCCTCCTCCCGCAGCATGATGGCCCCTGAGTCGTAGAAACGCCTGGGGACGGGCGGTGAAGGTGCTGGCGGCAGCCTGGCCTCTCCACACGGCTGTCTCTGGGCAGCCTCGCCTCCCCCAGCACCGGGCTCAGGCCAGTGGGCCCCTGTCCTTGGCCCAGTGCTGCTCTCTGAACTCCCCAGCTGCACCCCTCCGCTTGCAGGTCCAGCAGCCGAGTGGGCAGCGCAAGACAGCAGCACGAGGGAGCTGAGGCGGGGGGCGGGTGAGGCAGTCCCAGGGGTCAGGGTACCCACAGCCAGTGGGGACTCTGCCATAGGAACAGGCAAGGACTGCGGCCTGTGGAGGGCAAGGGCTGTCGTGCCAGGTGGAGCCAGGCACAGTGGGCCTGGCCAGCAGCAGGGAGGTGTGGGTGAGGGCTGACCTGGTGGTCCGCGAGTCCCGCACGGCTGTGGTGATGTACTCCGACATGCGCTTCTCCATCAGCGCCACCCGGATCCACGCCCGGCCCTGGGAGGCACAAATGCCATTTGTGCTGCTGTGTCTCTCACGTGGATGGGGTCCCCCACCCCACAGAGGCCCGAGCCTAGGCCCCTCACCTTGGCCCGTGCGGTGCTGATGTTCTCCATACTCTCGATGCTGCTCACGCAGTTGTTTGGCACCTTGCTGCAGGCCAGGCGGATGTAGTCCCAGAAACCCCGCTGCCCATCTGAGCTGAACCAGCTGGCGGGCCCTGCTGGGGCACAGGCTAAGCCAGGGCAGGAGAGGTTCAGTGGCCAGGGCTGAGCAGAGGCCGTGGGCACTCACCCAGCCCCAGGTGCATCCCTCCCATCTCAGGGCCTCAGGGCAGGGCCACCACAGGCCCACCTCTGAATCTGTGGCTCAGGATCTGCTCCAGGATGGCGGCGAAGTTAACAAACTCCTCAGAGGAGTCATCGATGGGCTCGGCCGTGTACTTCTCCAGCAGGGTTTTCACCGAGAACCTGGGGACAGGGACAGGGGCTGTGAGGAGTCAGGCCAGGGGACCATGTCAGAGTGGAGGATGGGTCAGCAGAACACACGTGGGGAGAGAAGAGGACTCCAGGACAGCGCTGCAGAGGCTTTGCCACCGGAAGCACCGGTCGTGGGTGAGGGGGGTTCTGGGCAGGGGACCGGGTGGAGAGGGTGAATTCCAGTGAGGAGGGCGGTGACTGCCCCCGGCCGTTCCACGTGGCATCGGCCCCACTGGGAGCTAGGTCACCCAGAAGCTGGAAGCCACTGTGTGCGAGGCCCTGAGGTATTGCCTTGTTTTCCATTCCTGAGGGACGGGGTGCTCTGTGCCAGGGTGTGAGTTGGCACTGGGTATGAGGAATGTGGGCAGACGTGGGTGGCCAGGTGGCCTTCAGCTCATGGATGCTCCCTTCCCACTTTCTGCCCTGGCCTGGCTGCCCACACACCAGCTGTCCAGAACCAGGCGTGCATCCCCAGCCGGGAGGAGCTGGCTGGGCCTGACACAGTGGTCGGGTGTTGGCAGCAGGTGCCCGGAGGGCCCTGGCAGGAAGGGCCTGGGGGATGCCAAGCACTGCCAGCCCTGAGCCCTCTGAAGCCTGCAGTCTCCGGCTGCCTCTGACCGGCGGGTGGGGGAGGGTGTCTCACCCGCTCTGCCACATGGGAGCTGCGTAGAGTTGCCCTTGTGGAATGCCAAGGCCTGTGCTTTCTTTTTCCTGTTCTTACTGCTGTTGCCACTGAGTGGAGCAGGAACCCGACGGGCCCTGAGGCTGACTACTGCCCCTGGGGCACAGGGGCCCAAGTGCCACCTCCCATCTGGGCTCAGGTGGGTGCCGCCTGGCTGGGAGGGTGGTGGCACTTGGGCAGGGGAAGCTGCAGAGGACCGGTTTGGTGCATACCCCCAGCGGGGCCAACAGATCCTGGAGCAGCCTGCGCAGGGCATTACCGGGCTCCACCATGCACCCCCTTCCCTGGGTGACTGCTGCTGTGGGTTACCATGGTGACGGGAGGCCAGGGCCCAGGGGAGGCACGGCCTGGCTGCTAAGGGGAGCGGTTCAGGGAGCCGGAGGCAGGGAAACACGTGACTTGCCAAGGCGGCAGGCCCTGGGGGTTTCTGTGCTTTGTCACATCCCCAGCCCCAAAACTCTGCCCCCACCCCCAGCTCTAAGCTGCTTCCGGCCTGGGAGCCTCTGTGTCTCCATCCCAGACCTGAGCGAGTTCCTCTGGGCACTCAGGAGCCTAGGAGGTCAATGCCAGAGAGGAACAGGAAGGTGCCATGGGGACTGGCCAGGGTTGGCACCTCTACCTTGCGCCTTGACCACTCTGGCTTTTAGCAGATAAAACACGTGTGATGAGCGCCCGGACCCAGGGTGATGAGCTTTGCCCCGGGTCTCATAGCCAGTAACCAAAGGGAACACAGGATGTCAGGGCCCAGGGAGGGCTCCCCTCTCTGCCACCCGAAGGGCTGAGGGACCACGACTGGCTGGGCATCGCTGGCTCCTGCCATGGCGTTTCAGGCCTCTGCACCCAGCGCCCTGCCAGGCACGGAGACCGCAGGGCTGTAATGTGCCTGGCACCTGGCAGGGCCTTGGGGGGACGCAAGCCGGGCCAGCAGGTGGGCGCCGGTTCCTGGGATCAGGAACAGGGCTGAGGCAAGAGCAGACGGCGCGGGGAGGGCAGCACCACTGGGTCCCGGGTCTGGGGAGAGGTGTGCGCAGGCTGGGGGGCTGGGTGTCGGCGCCTCCCGAGCCTCCTGGGGAAGGGAAGGGTCTTGCAGGTCGCTGCGGGCACAGGGGGTCGCAACCTGGGTGGCCCCATCGGG